ACATGTTGTCTGTTTTAAATGTTGCCCTGATGTTCCTGTGACGATGCTCAGCAAGAGGAAAGCCACGGTCTCTGTCTCTGTGTTTGCTCGGATGATAACGGTCCACCTTTGTGTGTGGAGGAACATTCCAGCGCTTCATTAGGAGCAGATGTGAAGGAGGTTTTCAGCATGTGTGTGTGTTTTGTGCTGTGAGTGGATGCAGATCTGCAGTTTAGTCTGCTGGACACTGCTGTTGTGCTCTTTTATCATTGCTTTATGAGGACAGTTGTTTTTTGGGCTGACAGGAACTGTGGATCATGGAGAACAGCTGCTGATCACCATACTGAGACACACATACAACACGGCAGACACACTGACTGTAATATAGCAGGAGACTGGAGCCACAAAATTCTAAACATTAGTGACAAAATACGAATGAAATGCAGCCATTTACTGTAAATTGTAGAATTTTCTTTTACGTTCCTACTATTTTTATTTTTGTCTTATTCATTTATTTTTACATTTATTTGTTTATTTAACCTGGACTTCTGTTCAGTGATTGGGGTCGATAAGACTTATTGTGCAATACAAAAGTGAAATATTATTCATATTTAAAATTGCAATTTTCTATGTTAATATTTTATTTATTATTATTTAATAATAAATATTTAATAAATTATTGTAACTATCAAAAATGTATTCGTTAATGACATATATTTTCGTTGTTGTTGTTGTTGTTATTATTATTTAATAATAATACATATAAATATAATTTAACATTCTTTGGTGCAATTATTTAATTTTTTTTATTGTTTTGTGTCCACTTTATTTTTAACGTGTTTATATTTATTATAAATACTATTTTTATCTATACATTTTTTAAAAACATTTTTAAAAATATAGATATATTTTTTTAGAATTGTTAAATAAAATAATATCTATTATTAGAGAGATTATAATCCAAGTTCATGTGTATGCACTGATATGATCTGCTTGGTTTGTTTGTTGATGGCTCGTCTGTGTTTTATAGAGTGATACTCACATTGTGCTTTTGTCAACACAAGAATCCGCACTGCCAGAGGAAGCTCAGAACTTTATTTAGCACGAGACCTTCAGTGCATATGATCCGTCGTCACAAGACTTCCTTTACATCTTTCCTATGCTCCAGACCTCTTCCCATTCGTCTGAAGGGGGTTTAGTAGGGCTGCACGATATATACAGTTTCAGCATCGATATCGCAATATGCGCAGGATATGCAATGTTGAGCCTGAATTATAGTGTGAAAGTTTGTCATTTGCATGTGTTTTAGTGCATTTCAAGAGAGTTCAAAACATTTGGAATAAAAAAAAATGATGATGTTCGGAGGCGAAATAACATTGTGTTCAATTACTTTATATGATTTATGCAAAAAAAAAATCCTACTTAGAATTTTTGTGTTGTTTCTAGTCCAAATATCGTATAAAAGTGAAAATAATTTCTCCATTGAGTGATAATTTTGCTTGCTTTAATGAAAAACTCTTAATTTTGACTTATTGCCTATAGGGCTGCACGATTCTGGCTTAAATGAGAATCACAGTTTTTTTTTGCTCAAAATAAAGATCACGATTTTCTTACAATTCTCTAGATGTAAAATAAAGGTTATGAGTAGGCTATTATTGCTGTTTCTCAATTATATGGTAAAACAACAGTAATGATATTAGGCCCATGTGTAGGTCTACTGTTGGTTAAAATGCTTAATTTTGTATTGGTGGACTTGAACAGACTTTAAATCTGTCCTGTTTGTTAATGCACAGTAAAGTGATGACACCAGAATACAAGTTGAATTTTTATTCATTGACATGTCATTGACAACATTATTAGAGGCGCAGTAGGTAGTGCTGTCGCCTCACAGCAAGAAGATCGCTGGTTCGGGCCTCGGCTGGGTCAGTTGGCGTTTCTGTGTGGAGTTTGCATGTTCTCCCTGCGTTCGCGTGGGTTTCCCTCTGGTGCTCTGGTTTCCCCCACAGTCCAAAGACATGCGGTACAGGTAAATTGGGTAGGCTACATTGTCCGTAGTGTATGAGTGTGTGTGTGGATGTTTCCCAGAGATTGGTTGCAGCTGTAAGGGCATCCGCTGTGTAAAAAACGTGCTGGATAAGTTGGCAGTTCATTCCGCTGTGGCCACCCCGCATTAATAAAGGGACTAAGCCGAAAAGAAAATAAATAAATGAACATTATTAGACCATTTTTTTTCACTGGTAAAAATAATTTGTCATTATCAGTTTCCCTGCTGCATTATGTTCAACTTTATATAGGCTAAAGTGTTTATACTGACAGTGTAAAACATTTATTTTCATGCACAACACATTGTAAAAACATCAAATGCTTGTCGTAATCATAATTCTGAATGCGATATGATAATTTAAATGATGTGTACGCTTTCAGTTTCACTTTCACTGCCGAGTGCGCTCATGTCATGGCTCCCGTCAGTCTGAGAAAAATACTATACATGGAAGTCATACTTCCCGCGCGGCTCCTAATAGACCGCTCTGTGCAACAATCTGAATGTTTATTACCAGTTATTCCCAGCCTATGCAGGTTCTATCCACTAAAGTAGACATCATTGGCACACGTTCCCACAAATACATTACATTAAGAGAGAAATTTTTGGGTGAATGATACCTTTATAAATACATTATGTGAATCTCTCAACACCATTTGGAAGTACTTATTTAAAACAATGTGACGACTGCCTTTATTCTCCCAAACTTGAAAATATAATTGGCTGAATGCTGGTGTATTATTGTGTAGGGGGTTTGAATCAAGCTCATGATCTTTTTTCGGTTAATAGTCTTGCCCTGATTGCTTCTGAAGGTGAAAAAAAGAGCTAAACAACATAATTCTTGGTTTTTGAGGGGACAACTTAATTGATTTATGTTCAATCCACTAGGGCTGTACAATTAATCGAAAATCCGATTTCGATTTAAGCTTCTAACGATTATGAAAAACCATAAATTGAGATAAACGATTATTAACTTAGCAACGCGAAAGACCACATGCTTATGCGTGTGTGTGTGTGTGGCGCGCACACACAAGCACGCGGTCGCTTATGTGTGTGTGTGTGCGCAAACATAAGCACGCGGTCAGCATTTGGTGTCATTCGCACACTGTGACGAGCAGAGTGCACGTAATCTTAATGCGAGCGCTTTAATGTTCAAATTGGTGTCAAAATTCGGTGTTTAGTGATTATTTATATTAACCCTTATTTGTGTAATGAACAAACGAGTTGAGAATCAAAGACGTGAAAGAGAAACCATTAAAGTAAAAGCGTGCGGTGTTTCTGCTGCCGCCTGTTTTTATGATTATTAATCAAACAACAAAACGAGAAAATCCCTCAGTGCTTTTGACTGAAGGACTTTTGTAGCTGAAGTGTTTTCTTACAGTGAAGATGCTTAAAGCACAGTTTGTTTCATATTTTTATTCTATTGTATTTATTTCCCTTTCCTTATTTACAGGGAGGAAAATATATGTGCATATATACAATTAAAATCAGATTTATTTGCCCTTTAGCGACCCTTTCCCCCATTTCTGTTAAATGGAAAGATTTATTTTCAACCCATTTTTAAACAACAGATTTAATAACTCATCTCTAATAACTGATTTCTTTCTTCTTTGCTATGATGTCATTACATTATATTTTACTAGATATTCTTCAAGATACCAGTATTCAGCTTAAAGTGACATCCAAGGGCTTAATTAGTGTAATTAGGCAAGTCATTGTATAACAATAGTTTCTTCTGCAGACAATCAAAAATATATATTGCTTAAGGGGGCTTATAATATTGGCCTTATAATGGTTTCAAAATATTAAAAACTGCTTTTATTCTAGCCAAAATCAAACAGGTAAGACTTACTCCAGAAGAAAAAAATATTATAGGCAATACTGTGAAAAATTCCTGTTAAACATCATTTGGGAAATTTTTATATATAAAAAAACAAAATTCACAGGAGATTTATTTATTTATTTCTCTTTTCTTTGCAGGGAGGAAAATAACTGTATGTGTGCAGTTGAAGTTAGAATTATTATCTCTCCTGAATATTAGCAACCCTTTCCCTCCCCAAATTTTGGTTCATGTAAATAAATTTTTTTTTCAACTTATTTCTAAACATATTAGTTTTAATAATTTTTTTCAATTTTTTTTTTATCTTTGCTATGATGACAGCACATAATATTAGACTATTTTCAAAATACAAGCATTCAGATTCAAAGTGCAATTCAAAGACTTAATTAGGATAATTAGCCAAGTCATTGTATAACAGTAGTTTCTTCTGCAGACAGATATTTATTGCTTAAGGGGGCTAATAATATTGACCTTAAAATAGGTTTCAAAATATTTAAACCTGCTTTTATTCTAGCTGAAATAAAACAAATCAGCCTTTCTCCAGAAAAAAAAAAATTAGAAGAAATACTGTTAAAACTCCTTGCTCTGTAAACATAATTTTGGAAATATTTATTTAAAAAATAAAAATCTCAGGAGCGCTAATAATTTAGACTTAAACTGATAATCGTTTTGAATAATCGTGATTACAATTATAACCAAAATAATCGTGATTATGATTTTTCCCAAAATCGAGCAGCCCTACAATCCACTTACAAATTAACAAGTTTACTCAAATCCTTTAATGTTGACCCAACACAAAATAGATGTGGAACCCAGCATTTGTGCCCTTGATCTAAGAGTTTTTAGATATTTGGACTAGAAATGATATATATTTTTTTGCATTGTGATGATCTATTTTAGTACCTGAATACAGCAGGACTCCCCAGAACACCCAGCTATTCAAACCATCTGCTGAAACTATTCATATCGTAATATTTATCACAGAAAGATAAAATATTGCAAAATCATTTTTCTCCAATGTAGTGCAGCCATGTTAGTGTTTAGTGAGCTGCCAACTGTGCCAGTCTGTTGTGTGTTATTGAGCAGGTAAAGCTCATCGCTTTGACCCGGTTGGCTCTGAAAACACTGTTTAATCCACAGGCTTTACAGACAGGAACTGTGCTGGACTATCTGCTGTCATATACTGAAAGAGCAGGCTTTTACAGGAGACAGACGCTCTGAAAGACGCCAGACGCTCAGATGAGGAGTGTTTGTAAAAGGTGACGCGAGTGTTTGTCTGTGATTGGGCCCGTTGAGCATGTTTTCCTAGATAACTGTTTGTTGTTTGTCAAAGGAAGCGAGATTTTGAGGTCACTGGAACAAGCAGATAAACAGAAGGGACTTCTGGAATGTTTTTATGCTGCTTCAACAGCACAACAAGTTCCCGTAGCGAGAAATCAGCAACACAACAGAATGGAAAGAGACACTTTTATTTATCTGTGTATGCTGGAGGAAAACTCCGACCAGCACTATAAAGACTGCAAAAATGCGTTCTAGTTATCTTTATTTGATTGTTGAAATCGATTCGTAAATGCGTTGCATTCATTTATTAATATTTTGTGTGATATTATTTGAGCTGAAACGTGAATTATTAGCCCCTGTGTATTTGTTATTGTTTAACAGAGTTGTTTTTAACACATTTCTAATCATAGTTTTAATAACTCATTCCTAATAACTGATTTATTTTCTCTTTGCCATGATGACAGCACAGAATATGTGACTAGATATTTCTTAAGACACTAGCATTCAGCTTAAAGTGACATTTAAATGCGTAACTCGGTTAATTAGTGTAAGGTTAGGGTAATTAGGCAAGTCATTGTATAACAGTGGTTTGTTCTGTAGACAGTCGGAAACAAATATTGCTTAACTGTGTGTTCACATCGAAGGCAGTGAGAGCATCAAAGTTTGCAACGGCCACCCTGCCGACAACGCTGCCTGCCTTTACAGCTCTACAGGAAGAAATATCTTCTATTTAAAGGAGCAGTTGCAGCATATCAGCAAATAAAAATAAATTAATTAAGAAAAATCCTAATTTCTAAGCAGATAATTTCCATAATAATCGATACAGAATGATTTTAAACATTAAATCGTGATCATTTTTTATTTGCTCTACCATAATGGGGCTTAATTGTTAAATTAGGGGCATAATAGGTCCCCTTTAAGGCTTATAATGTGGCACACATTTGGACATCCAGCAGAAGGCTCTCCAGCACCTGTCTTCTGACTTCAGATGTTAAAATGAGTGAAATTGTGCAGCAGGATTATATTTTTTCAGCTTATGCAAATCTGACAGGCCTCTTTGCATGATGACAGAGCGAAACAACACCACGTCTCTTGATGGTTTTGAATTGCAGATATAGTGACAGGCTGCGGGCCCTGTCCTGTTCGCGGACAGTGAGATGCTGTGCTGTTCTCTCAGGTCTGAATAATGAGTGTTGTTGAACATCGTCTGTTTCAGCACTAAAGGCCCATTGTGATGTGTGGTGCGAGCGGAGTACAGCGCTTTACCAACTATTCATTACTTACTGTTGCTCATAGTTGGTGGTTGCAGTTTTACACTTGCTGTATGTCAAGTAAAAGTTAAAGCTGTTTATAAAAGTATTGAATAGCACTTCTGATGATGTCATATTATCATATCACATTTGTTTGAGCTGTTGACAGTTGTATATGTGTCCCACACTGCTAAAAACACTATTAGGACACCTATATTTCACTACAAAGTGTAAATTGGTTGTTTTTGCGTTATTTCAAGCAAATTCGTACTTCCGGTTTGAAACAAATTTTTGAAGCTGCGTCACGGTCATGACATAATAGCGTGTATTCCAGCGTGCAGACTGGACGTGCAGGATCCGGATTCGCTTGTAGTCTCCTCTTAATAAAGATGCGGCTCTAGTAACTGGTGATTGTCCTGTCTTTACAGATTTGGTAAGTGAGCGTCCAGTGCTCTTTGTTTCAGTTTGTTCGAACTAAGTTAACCATTGCACCGAGTGTAAACATGTTAGCACCACAACCAAACTTTAACCTCGTGTAGGATTTTCACCGCATTTAGTGACCGGAATAACACATGCGGCTTTCTGACACTACCTGCCGTGTGCATCTAAGTTTCCGGGAAATGCGGAGGTTTTTTTCTCTCATTCGCCGTGCGGTATCAAACATTGCATGAAAAATACACGCTTAGAGCAGATCCTCGAATCAAATATCTCGTTTGTCGCGAGGGACATGAATGAATTCCCTGAATGAAAGAGCCAAACTGCAGTTAAAGTCCAACATTTAATAATTTGGCAAATAATTCGACTGAAGATGTCCATGTAAAAACCATCACTTTCTCCCATGTTTGTGTGTTTTGACTCAAACTCGCGCGTGTCCAAATAGACACTCCCACACTATCCCACTTTAGTTCCTCCGACACTCCCCCTAAACAGAGCTGGACACGCCCACTTTTCTGACTTTTTCCAAAGTAAAGGTGTGAAAACACCCTGCTGAAACGAGGGGGTTTCATGGCCCTTTAAACTTCACTCCTAATGTTAGACAGTTGAACGTTCAACTGATCTAATCCATATTCAGTCAAATTAATTTAACGGTGGATAAAAAGCTAGCACTGTTTACATTTGACCATTATGGTTCAGTCTGAATCAACTCATGTTGTCCAATCGGTGTCCAATTTAAAATGTTGTCCAGTCAGTGTATCCCTAATGAAAACGTTTGATTAGGCATGTGCAGTGCAGGGATTGAATGAGCAGAGAAACTCTCTCATATCCACTGCAATCAGAGAGCCGCTTGAAGCAAATGTTTGAATCTGATCTCCATGAGACGCTCAGAAACAAATGTCCGAGCACATCCTCCCTGTGATATCTCTGACATTCTCTCTTTGTCCCTTTGCAGGAAATGACCGAGAGGCCTTACAGATAGTTTGTGCTTCTGCTGCAGTCGGAGTTTGCAGAGAGAGAGAGAGAGAGAGACCCCCTATCTGGAAGCACATTTGTTTCCGCTGTGAGTATTAACTACCTCAGACACTGGAAACTGATCAAGAGGCGTTCGGCGAACTCTGTCTGTTCCTGCAGCTCACACACACAGACCAGACCCTCTGACCGACTGGATCCGTCAGAGCGGCACAGGCCACGTCACCCTGTAGCTCACACCACTGCTTTCCCTCTCCGCTAAATCCACAGATTTTTACAGATATTTTTTTTTCTATTTTTGTTAGAGGAAAAAGTTCTGAAAGAAGGATTTTTCACTTGCATTTTTTGAAGGATCGATCATGCACTTTGGATTTTCACCCAGGATTGAAGCTAAGTGGAGACGCTAACTGGGATATAAACGCTGTGTTGCAGCTGGTCTGCAAAACTCGCCATCTCTCAGGAGCGGATACTGTCATGACTTCCCCTCGGATGGGATCTTTAAGCTGTCTATTTACTTGATTCCAGGAGAGCAGAATTAGACATCGAGAGCGTGCGCGCATTGAAAGGTGTCCGCTTGGTGAGGACCGACACTCCTTGGGCTCATTGAATACTTATGTATTGTTGCAGTGCACAGGAAAGTAAAATGGACTACAAGCTGCGCTTTTTGCTTGGCGGGTCCAAGCACAAAGTGCAGCAGCACCAGCAGTTCCAGTTACCCGAGCTCAGCCGGACCCTCAGCGCCCCATTGGGCTCTTCTTGCTCCACCCCATCTCCAATGGTGACCATAGGCTCCTCCCCTTCTGGCTGTCACGCCCCGCCCCCTGGCACCACTACAGCGATTGCGGACATCCAGCAGGGCATCTCCAAATACCTGGACGCACTGAACGCGTTCTGCCGTGCGAGCGCCTTCCTGACGGAGCTCTTTGGCAGCGTTTTCCGGGACTCCCGTTACTCCAAAGCAGCTATGCAACTGAAGGACGTGCAGGAACATGTCATGGAAACGACCAGCCGGCTCACCACAGCAATAAAGCCAGAGATCGGCAAAATGCTGATGGAGCTCAGCGCAGGCGCGGCTAACTTCAAAGACCAGAACGACTTCAGCCTGCAGGACGTGGAGGTAAGTCACCTCACAACCACCTGCATCTGCGTGTGTGCGTATAATATATATATATATATAAGCCTCTTTCACACATACAGACCTTTCCGGAAAATTACCGACAATTTTTCGGATAGGTTGTATGTGTGAACAGGTCCTTTTTGAAAATACCAGTAAATTCGTTCTGGGTATTTTCCGGAAAGAGAAGTTGTAAGATTACCGGCAATTTGCCGGAATGCTGCGCTGTGTGAATGCAGAAGGAAGATTCCCGTAATAAGCGCGTGCACGTCTAGAACGTGCTGACGTGAGACGTCTGCTTTAGCCAATCACAACAGTCAGACGCATTTACGTCTGCGCGGTTTATGAGAATAAATGCCTTTGAATATTTTCCCAGACACATTTAGCTGCTAGAAGTTAGTCAGATCACGTTTATATGTTCTTCTTAATGCCAACTGTGTAAATGATCATCGATGAGATGCTTATGATAAGCCGTTGTTTGTTTACCTTCAAGCTTTGCGTGTGCCTGTGAAACAGCCTTATGCTTACACATATTATGAACATCTCGACATGCGAAAGTGATCCTGCGAAAGTTGTTCACAATATTGATCATCCACAGAGTTTGTAATGTAGTCAAATGTTTACAAATACAAGCGCAGCCGTTTAAAGCTCATTTGTGGTGAATGATGTCAGAATTTACCGGTATTTTGGAATGGATGTGTAAATGCTCTTTTCCGGAAAATTTCCGTAACGTCCTCACCTGTGTGAACAGCACTTTTTTGAATACACTGGTAAAATCGTTCCGGAAATTTTCCGGATATTTACCGATATCACTGTGAAAGGGGCTATAGTTACGTTTAACAAATAGTTTTGCTTCAAATCGTCTAAATCGTAGCGTCTGCTGCTAAATGCCACTTGCCTTTGACAGCAAAAGCCTCTGTCTCGAGAACCAATCAAAAGGTGCGAATAAAACCATGTGTTCTCAATGTAACGGTGCGCTGATACGGCAGCTTTTATGTAGAGAGCGTTTTATTCCGCTTTCGATTTTTTTAAAAGACGCAGATTGATGAAGTGGATGATTCTGTTCGTCTGTCACTGAATGGCAAATGAAAACCACCCTTACTTCAAATCTCTCTGCATTATAAGAAAAAGAAAACACACTGTACAGTCGGAAGTGTAGCATGCGTTTATAATGTTTTTTAAAGAAAACGAACCTTAAACGTGTCTTTTTTTTTTTTTAGTGGCATATAGTTCACTGGAAGCGCTTAACAGGTTACTGACAAAAGTCTTTCTGCATAGCATCTGTGCAATATCAGACAGCACTAATGAGAATCCATCAGTTATTATAGTTAACCATGTTTCATTCATGTGTTTTGATTAGTGTTGATTTCAAATGCAGGAAATCTGTTAATATAAAACTTGTAACGAAGCAAAATTTTATCTGGTGTGACTAAAGTTTTAAATTAGGAGCAGCGGTGCTACCAAGACGAGTTTGGTTTGGAGCCCTGAAACAGGTTGATTTTATTTTTTTTCTACTACATTTAAATTGCACTTTTCAACCCAGTGGTTGAATTTGGCTATATTTGATCCAACATTGAGGGAAGTCACCTGAAAACCACCTGCATGTGTGTGTGTATACTCTAAAACAACAACAACAAGGACATGACAACTAAAGTAGTGCAGAAAACACCTTCACCTTTAATGAAAGCCAGCACATCCCGAATAATCCACCAAAACTTATATTTTACAGGTAGGCCTAAATGATTTGAAGTGATTTGAATGTCGTGAGAGGTGATCTCTCTGCGATCGTTATGAATTTAGGATGAATCTACCAGTAGAATTTTTTTAAATCCTGTGTGTTCTAAACCGTAGGTTGTGATCTGTTCTAATTACGGATCAACCGGGATCTGTTACATCCCTACAACATATGCATGCAGCACACAATCCCTGGCACATAATGTATTTAATTCATTGCACTTCTCTGGGATATTGACATTGCAAATACTATTATAGTTTCAAATATGCTGTGCAGTCCGACTCCAGACAGTGTTTTTAAAGTCAGAGAGAGGAGAGGAGAGGCCTCCACATCTTTTACAGAGGAATTCCTCTGTTGGATATTTTCGGAAACCAGATGCTCTCCTCTTCCTCTCCAAGAGAGCGCAGTTTGTAGCCAGTGTGGTCGGCCGTGATGGCTTTATGAGCGAGGGTTTGTGCCCTGGTGGATGTGGTCATGCTCTCCGAGCAGGAAGACTTCACACTGCAGGCCTTTAAACCGGGCGCTGTGGCAGGGACCCGCGCCAGACCTGCAGCTTTACACACACATCTCTCCAGAACACAAAACACCAGACATTTCAGTCTACCAAACTTTCCTCCTGAACGTGTTTGACTGTGGAATGTTTTCAAATATTGAAAGTCTTTTATAATGTTTGCAGAAGACGAAGAAAATGTCCTGATATTTTTACAGCTCATTCGGATCAACCGCTCTGGAAAACTTTGACTCTGTTTTTACTTTTTAGTGAGAAAAACACTCTGCGTCAGTTGCATCGCTTTGCTCCCATTCATGAATTCTCTGACGTTGCATCATGGGATAGCGTGTAGCGTCCATTAGATGCACTTCAGAATCTCGCCAGAAGTAATTGGTTACCTGGATACTGCTCACCTACTGTTTTTCCAATACTATAAATTCAGGCATACTACTACTTGGTTTGCATACTGTTTTTCACATACTACAGTATATACACATACACCGGCCGCTTTATTAGGTACACCTGTCCACCTGCTTAAGGCAAATGTCTAAGCAGCCAATCACATGGCAGCAACTCAATGCATTTAGACATGTGGACATGGTCAAGACGATCTGCTGCAGTTCAGATCGAGCATCAGAATGGGGAAGAAAGGGGATTCCCCCTAAAAAAAGCAAATACAAAAACAATATACACCGGCCACTTTATTAGGTACACCTTACTAGTACCAGGTTTTGCCTTCAGAACTGCCTTAATCCTAAATGGCGTAGATTCAACAAGCTACTGGAAATGTTCCTCAGAGATTTTGCTCCATATTGACTTGACAGCATCACTCAGTTGCTGCAGATTTGTCGGCTGCACATCCATGATGCCAATCTCCACATCCCAAAGGTGCTCTATTGGATTGAGATCTGGTGATTGTGGTGGCCATTTGAGTACAGTGAACTCATCATGTTCAGTCTGAGATGATCTGTGCTTTGGCATGGCATGTTATCCTGCTGATAATGCATTTGCGCCCACAGAACTGCCGCTCACTGGATATTTCCTCTTTGTCGGAGCATTCTCTGTAAACCCTAGAGATGGTTGTGCAGGAAAATCCCAGTAGATCAGTAGTTTCTGAAATACTCAGAGCAGCTCGTCTGGCACCAACAACCATGCCACGTTCAAAGTCTCTTAAATCCCCTTTCTTCCCCATTCTGATGCTCAGTTTGAACTGCAGCAGATCGTCTTGACGAGCAGTTGGACAGGTGTACCTAATAAAGTGGCCGGTGAGTGTTTGAACGGAAGCAAAGCTGTTTCCAAATGAACTTGTGAATGAATTCAGAAGAGATCATTCTCAACTGGAGACACACACACACTGTAAACACAGGACAGGCTCTGCAGGCGTCACTTCAGTATCTTGTATTTGCTAATGAGTGTTTTAGTTTGCAAAAGGGCCTTCCTGCCTCGAGTGTGTGTGTGTGTGTGTGTGTGTCTGTATCTATGTATGCATTGTTTTTGTCTGCTTGTGTGTTCTTGAGTGTTTGTGCAATGTCTCCGCATTTGTTGGTGTGTGTGTGTGTTTGTAGATTTTTAGTGTGTCTGTTTCTGCGTATGTGTGTTTGTTCATGTGTATACATGTTTGCATTTGTGTGTGTGTGTGTGTGTGTGTGTGTGTGTGTGTGTGTGTGTTTGAGTGTTTGAGTGTTTGTGCACTTGTTTGTATGTGTGTGTGCATTTGTTAGTGTGTGTCTGTATCTGTATGCGTGTTCATTCATGTATGCGCATTTGTTTGTTTTTGTCTGTTGAGTGTTTGTGCATGTGTGAGCACATGTGTTAGTGTGTTTGTCTTTGTATGTGTGTGTGCACTTGTGTATGTGCAAGTGTGCATTTTTTTGTCTTTGTGTGTGTTCATGCATGCATGTCCATATATGTATTTTGTGTGTGCTCATGTCTTAGAGTGTGTGTTTGTTTGTGTGTTTGTTTCTCCCTTTGTGTTTGCAAGCATGTGCATGTGTCTATATGATTGTGTGTGTGCGTGTGTGTGTGTGTGCGTGTGTGTGCGTGTGTGTGTGTGTGTGGGTGTGTGTGTGTGTGTGTGTGCGCACGCGCGCTCATGTCTTTATGAATGTGTGTTTGTTTTTCTGTGTGTGTGTTTGTCTTTCTGTGTCTGTCTGTCTGTTTTTTCCTCGCTGTGTGTGCGCGTGCATATCCATATGAGTGTGTGTGTGTTCTGTTTTGTACACTAGTCTGGCAGGGTGACAGCAGGGTATTCCCGTCTCAGGGGTGTGTGTTACCTGACACCATGATTGTCTCCAGAAATACACCCACTGCAGCTCTGAGCCAATCAGCTGCAGGCTTTCTGTCGGCCTGGAGAAGAGCACTGACCCTAGATCAGATTTCTAAATGCTGTGAAGTGATTTGTTTGCATACGGACAGTTAACCGCAGAGAGTTTTACATGGAGGATTCTGTGTTTCCGGTTTCTGATGATGGTGTGTGTGTGTGTGTGTGTGTGTGTGTGTGTGTGTGTGTGTGTGTGTGTTTGTTTGTTTGTTTGTTTGTTTGTTTGTTTGTTTAATCAGTATATTTTTAACCAGACTGAAACTTTTTCTTATTCAGCAATGGATTGAAATGACCATGAATTCTTTTTTTAAAGATTTTTTATTTTTGCCTTTATTAGATCGCACAGTATTGAGACAGGAAGCGAAGTGGGAGAGAGAGAGTAGGGTAGGGAAATGTCCTCGAGCCGGGATTCGAACTCGCGACGCCCTGACGTGCTATTGCACCATATGTCGGCGCGC